TGTTTCCACCTGTTCTATGACATATTTCTTTTGAACTGGTGGGGGAGGGGCACCCCCCCCCCCCCCTGCTCCTGCCATTCTATTTGAGGTCCTGGCTCAGACATCGGGCCCGAATGACTAAGTTTGTTTTTCTGGTTCCAGATTCCGGAATTCAGATCCCATTTTGAAAAATTGTTTGATTACTGTAGGGCTTCCAAAAAATTTTTGTTTTTATTTTCCTCCCCATCACATTTTGGCCGAAATGGCACGGAAGCTGTTGGGATTTTTGGTTTCTAAGAGGATCTTCTGGAAGTGGTCAACAAGATTTTTCCTTGGAGAGCTGGTTTCGGATGATCCAAACTCAGTTAGGTTTTAATAGAAGGGCATAGCTTTGGGTTCAAATTCGTAAAATCCAAAAGTGTAGATCAAAAAATTCTCTATCGATTGGTATAAATATCATATAGGATTCGGCCAGGGAGATCCCCAAAAATTATTCTGAGCACGTGCGTTTTTCGGATTTTTTAAACCAATTTTTAATAGAAACCTATATGATATTTATACCAATCGATAGAAAATTTTATTTTCGTCGTTTTTCGAATTTTGGTTTTCCAGAATTTTCGGATTTTTCAGAATTTTTTGCATTTTTCAGAATTTTTGGACTTTTCAGAATTTGTGGATTTCTCAGAATTTTTGAAAATGCTTCTCAGGACCAAAACCTCACGGCTATGGCCTAAAATTGAAGAATATCGATTTTCGATTTTATCGAAGCCAGATCCTCAAAAAAAATTTCGAAAAATCCTCTGATGGATTTGAACTCGAGACCTGTCTGATGGAAACCAAAAGCGCTACCGGCTGCGCTATGCGTCCTCGACTCTCATGGCGAAGGTGGTAACGCGCTTGGGCACCAGCGAACAGTGCTCTGGTTCAAACCCATTGGATGATTTTTTTTCTGGTTTTTTTCTACTTTTCAAACCTCAATTTCCTCCTCCCTCTATTTTTAGAAAATGAGGTCCTAGATTAGACAATGATCACCCAACAAAAAATGTGCATGACCCCAATTACTAGGACACCAATGTTTTCTTTTTGCTCGCCCCCCTAAAATTCCTGAATTCGCAACCCCAATAAAACAAAAAAATTGGATTAAAAATCTCTCGAAAATCGGGGAAAATTGAAATCTATTTCTCCATCCCCTCCCCTCCTTCCTAATGTTTTGACGATCAATGGTCATGAACTTATGAGAGAGTTCTCCTAGAGAACTCGATTTGTTCTGGGTTATTTATTTACTTTTTTCTTTTTCTTATTTCCACGTCACCAGTTCTTCCATATGACCCTTTAAACCTTTCTTTTTTTCCAAAATAAATAATTTCTAATTCCCCACCCGCTCTTCTGATACCCCTCCTCAAAAAACCGAAATGTGCCGTGCTCTAAACATTTTCTTCGCATTCGCATTTTCACGGATTAGTAAGCGATCGAGGATTAATCAGACGACGTCGTCTAGTACCGTTGGGAGTAAAACTGTTTGTTTTTAAGAGTTCTTCTTCTTCTGATATGATTCTCTTATGCGTAGTGTATTGGTCTCTAATTTGTGATTTCGAAGAAAATCATGATTTCAGAATAAGAAAATATTCAAATAGAAGCCAGTTTTTTTGGAAAATGGAGGCTTCTTCCTACTCGGAAGCAAAACTTTTTTGGTGGTGGAATCACTTTTTTTTTGGAGGTGGATATTACGTATTTTCGGAAAAATATTTATCTAGTTTAGTGACCAGTTCTTCCTTTTTTGACGCTGCCATTCAGATTATTTTGAACGTTTTTTTTTTGAAAATTGGTACTGTGAGACTACTGTACTTTTTTTCTATTCTAGATGAACCATTTTTGACGTCCAGATTTTTTTCATTTTGATGGGACCTTTGTGGACCCCACAGCTCTTCCGAACGCGCAATAATGTGATCGCCCTCTCCTCATTCCCTGAATTTTGGCCTCATGGTGCAGTGGCTAAATCTCTCCCCTTCCAAATTTCGCACTCAGGTTCGATCCCGACCTACGCCAAAACATTTTTTCTTTTTTCTTTTGGAATTCTACATAAATTTTGAATCCCTATCCGCCTTATAGTTATTTTTCGGAACCTTGTACCTATCGAAAGCGCCCTTCGAAAAATGCGCAGTGATATCAATGCCTTCTATCCATCTCCTGTTTTTGTCTGTATGGCGCAGTGGCTAAAACCTTTGTTTTCCAATTTTTCAACTCGGGTTCAATTCCACCCTACGCCAAACTCTTTTTTTCTTTTTTTTCTCAAACTCAGAATTCCTTACATCTTTGCTTTTGACCATGAAAATCATCGAACTGGTCAGAATTTTGAGTCACCGTCCCACATTTTGAGTCACTGTCTGAAATTTTCGATTCCAAAGATCCACAGCATCATAATTTACGTCAAAAAGTGGTGATTCCCACAAGAGTGTGTGGGTGACAACTTTTGAAATTAGAAGAATTTTGCAAAAACAATCTGGCTTCTCTAGGACCCTATGGCTTCTGCTTTTTCGAACAAACTCCAATGTTTCTGGCTCCGCCCACAAACCTCTCTTGAATCATCCACGAAAAATTCAAAATTTTCATTTCAGATCATGTCCCCGGTGAGCCTACTCCATCTCCTTCTTCTAATATTCCCATTGTCCGCTCAACAAGAGCTCCGTCAGGAAGAATGCACCGTCCAGCCACCATCTCCCCGACATCCTAACATTGTGGTGCTCATGATCGACGATCTGGGTTACGGTGACATTGCAGCGTACGGTCACCCAACACAAGAGTACACCCAGGTCGATCGGATGGCTGCAGAGGGCACCCGCTTCACACAGGCCTATTCGGCGGATAGTATGTGCTCGCCGAGCCGGGCTGGATTCATTACTGGACGACTACCCATTCGGTTAGGTATAGTTGGTGGGCGGCGAGTCTTCGTGCCGTATGATATTGGAGGACTTCCGAAGACAGAAACAACCATGGCTGAGATGCTAAAAGAAGCTGGCTATGCGACTGGAATGGTTGGAAAATGGCATTTGGGAATCAACGAGAACAACGCCACCGATGGAGCGCACTTGCCATCGAAACGTGGATTTGATTATGTGGGAGTGAACCTCCCTTTCACCAATGTCTGGCAATGCGATACCACCAAAGAATTCTACGACAAGGGCCCGGACCCATCTCTCTGCTTCTTGTACGACGGAGATGATATTGTGCAGCAACCAATGAAGTTTGAGCATATGACTGAGAATTTAGTGGGGGATTGGAAACGATTCTTGATGACACGGTTGGCACAGGACCAACACGAACGGCCGTTCTTCTTCTACTTCTCCTTCCCACAGGTCCACTCGACACAGTTCGCTAGCAAACGGTTTAGAGGATCTTCCGTGAGAGGTAAGGGGGCGCGGGGGGAGGGGGTCCGGTAGAGCGCATTTGCATAATTTCTGTGACCGTTCAATATCTTGCGAGATCATTATGTCTGCGTTTTCGTAGTTTTGCCTCTCCGATTTGTAGTCGTCGTTTTCACTTTCACCTCCCTTTAATCTAATGTGATAAGGAAAATGATATGATCAACAAAACGCTCTTTGAATTATTAGGATTTTGAAAATATTTTTTTCCAGGAATCTACGGAGACTCGATCAACGAGATGTCGTGGGCTGTTGGTGAAGTGCTTGACAGTCTTGTGAACGCTGGAATCGCTGAAAACACCCTGGTCATCCTCATGTCGGATCATGGACCACACGTGGAGCTTTGCTTGAATGGAGGATCCACAGCAGGATTGAAAGGTGGAAAATCGAATAGTTATGAGGGAGGATTCCGGATTCCGTTCATCGCCTGGCAGCCAGGAACCGTGAAACCTGCAAGAGTTTCCCACGAAGTTATTTCTAGTATGGACTTGTTCCCGACGTTCCGAGCCATGAATGATGAGTGCTTGTTTGAGGTGAGCTTTTCTCAAAAATGGGGGCGTGGCCTACACGACCCTGGGGAAAAAACTCAATTAACTCCCACATTTCCAGAAAGAGCCCCTCCGCTCAGACGGTATCAATATCGCTGACGAGCTCCGCGGTGAGACTGATGACGTGGAAGGTAGCCTCGGCAAAGCTCGCCCCATCATTTACTACTGTAACACGCACCTGATGGCTATCCGGATAGGAGACTACAAGGTGCATTACAAGACCTCCCCGATTTTCTTGAACACCTCAGTTGACCCGAATCTCGATTACTTCTGCCCGAATGGAAAACCCAAATCTGATTGGTAAGAGTCCCAGGGCCGACCAAAACTAAGCCCCTAATTCCAGGTACGTCTCGCAAGTGTGCCCCGATGAGCACCTTCAAAAACACTATCCGCCACTTGTTTTCGATCTAATCCGTGACCCGTACGAACAATATCCGCTGCAAAACACTGTCAAATCCCAAGAAGTGAGTTTTTGGGAAAATATTTTTTTTAGAAAAAGCGTTTTTCAGATAAGATTCCAAGCGATGCAACGGCTCACCGAGCACAAATCGTCGCTGGTGAAAGTGAAGAATGTTCTCGGGAATTTTAATAAAACGGTGAGAATTTTTTTCTGGGGGAGCCATAGTGACGCATTGTCCTGGGAATTCGAGCTCGCGATGGGACCGGTGGAAGTACGTTAATCACTGAAGGAAGCTCAGAAAAAAGAAAAAAAATAGTTGCCACCAAAGGGGTCGAACCTATTGGTGGCAAGTGCACTAGCCACTGCGCCATACAGTCCCTTGAATGGTCAGCGCGCGCGGTTGGCCGCATGGCGCAGTGGGTAGCGCACCTGGTGATCTAGCAGGCCGATCTTGGGTTCGAACCCACACGAGGTCAACTTTTTTTTTCGAAATTTTTTAAAATCACTCCCGATGGTACATCTAAGGACTACAGTAACCCCACAGTACCGTACCCCGACATTCCTCATTCCCAAATTTCCAGCTCATCCCGTGCTGTAACCCGCCAAGCTGTAAATGTGACAAACTCTCGCGACCCAGTGAACTATCCGACGGTGGCCGTCCCGACTACGTTGGCCTCGTACCCGATCTCGACAGGACCGAATACGAACTTCTTAACAGATTTTTCTAAGAAATCTTTTCCTATTGATCTCAGTTCTTTTCCCCCCCCAGAAATCTCCTCTCCCAATAATAATCTAGTCTTTTATTCATGATCTCAAAAGTGTTCCAGTTCCATCTCCTCTTCCAGATTCTCCCGGCGAAATGACATCCTTCTCCCGAATTCTCCATTTTTTGCATGCCCATTTTTTCTCATTTTTTAAATCATTTGAACTCATTACCAGAAAAATATTATAAAAACCGTAAAATAAAAGAGTTTGAAACGTGATGTCCTGGGAGATTTTCGGAGCAATTTTTTGGAGCAAATTTGTGGAGCAAACCTCGAAACAAAAGTATTTCGAACTTTTCCACACAAAATGTTGGAATCCAAACCGATGGCGATGAACAAACGCGACTTTTACGAGGAAATTATACAGTTTCATCTTCGGAAAGGACCCGTCGAGCATGAGTACTCGTTTGGGTTTTTGAGTGAGCTGATGGAGGATGCGATGGTGAGCAAAAAATGAAAAAATTGGCTAGGCTCGGCACGGCTAGGCTAAGCTAGGCTAGGCTTGTCTAGACCCCGCTAGGCTCGACTAGGCTCAACTCGACTAACGCTATCCACTTTCAGGACCTAATCGATGGCCAAGTTCGTGTGGAGTACATCAACCCGCCCGTCAACATTTGTGGAGATATCCGAAGTCGTTACGGGGACATTCTCGATATTTTTAGAGTATTTTTAGAGCCTAGGCCAGGCTAGGATCAACATTTTTTTGTTCCAGAACTGCGGTTACCCATTCGACCAGAAATACGTTTTCCTTGGGAACATCTTCGACGGTGGGAAGTTCACCCTGGAGACTCTGGTTTTGTTGACCTGCTGCAGGATCTGTTATCCCGACAATTTTGTGATTCTTCGTGGATATTTTGAGAATGTTCTTGTCAGGTGAGATCTTGTAGGTGTATGTGGGTTTGTCGTGAGCCTAGGCTCGGGCATGCTCAGCTAGGCTGGTCAAGCTTAGCTCGGCTAAGCTCGGCTAGGCGCAACTAGACTTGGCTAGGGTATAGCTTGGCTAGGCCCAGCTAGGCCCGTATAGGCTCAGTCAGGCCCGTCTAGGCTCAAATAGGCATTGCTAGAGTCATAAATATGCTTCCAGAACCGGTCGAAACTTCATCGGTGAGCTGCGTGTCCGGTTCGCCGAGTCGAACAAATGGCAGGTGTTGAACTCGTCCATCAAACATTTTCTGGAACGTCTTCCGATCCTCGCGGTCCTCAATCGCAAAATCCTGTGTGTCAATGGAACGGTGACGGCGAATATCAAGAATGAGAGCAATGTGGTTTACGTGAGAAATGGGAGCTCGTTGGAGAACCATAACACAAGATTGGAGGTGGTTTTCTTGGACACTGATATTCCGGCGCCGGTGACTCCTAGTGCAATTGGTGAGGAGTGCGGGGTAGAAACTGTAAAAACTGAAAATATTTCCAGAAGAAGAGTCGAAAGCTCTTCGGGACCTTCTGAAGTCCATGGACATGTCGATGATGATAAATTCGGATAATGTCATCAAGCAAGGCTACGAGTTCACTCTTCAGAACCAGTTGCTTACGATCACCACTGGCACAAAACTCGCCAAAACTCATAATAATCGTGGAGTGGTTATGGTGGTAAGCGAGAACCCAGGAGACGCAGAGAGCTGGAGTGTCTAGCTGTCTGTGCCCCCCTCTTTATATACTTTTGAAATAGGAGACGCAGACAACTAGACTATCTAACTGTCTGCGTCTCCTCCCTCCTCTAAAACTCGACAAATAGGTGACGCAGACAGGTAGCCTCTCTAACTGTCTGCGCCTTCTCCCTCTCTTCTATTCATAAAATTCCAGATGGACCGTCACAACAAAGTCAATTTCAAAACTATTCATGGATTGGATGCCGAGGAGCGTCACGACTTGACGAGTGCTCCGTTGAGAGTCTAAAAGGAAACGTCAGTTTATTGAAGAATGATAACATTATTGAAGTATTATTATGATAAAAAAAGAGAGTTTTTTGGTTCCAGGGAAATGGCAATAAAAAACAGGGTTTTTTTGGTTTTTTACGGGAAAGGAATGTTTGGGACTATAAAATGGTGAGGAGGGAGTCTAGAAGGAAGATAATTAGACTGAACAAATATGAAGCTTCCATTGCTCATGAATTGAATACTAGTGTTACTGTCCGCAATATAAGTTTATCGACTAGAACTGTGTAAATCTATAATGTGACTTATATTTATTTCTCAATCAAATTGAAGAAGAAGCTTTTTTTTTCCTCCTGGACATTGTGAACCGGGGGCTCCTTTTTTCAAATCAGATCCATCTAATCTCGAGCTAAAACTTCATAAAATTGAGATATCACTTCTTTTATACTTACTGGGGGCCCATGAGACATATACCATCGATAGTAATACCGTTCTCTACACACTTTGTCTTCACTTCAGAGCAGCCCACAAATGTTTGGAGAGGGTGCATAGCGACTTGAACAGCTTTTCTGTTCCATTCTTCGTTATCAGTGCTCGGAATAATAAAATAGGGACCCTTACGAAATTTACAGTTCGACATAGACTCTGCTCTTTTTTCAAGCTCCATTTCGTATTTCTGAAAGTAACTCAAGCATTTCGAGATCAAGAATTTCCACTTACCAATTCGTGCATATTGGAAATATTTGCCTGTTTTGCAAAAAGCGCTCGTTCTTTATTCAATTCATCTACAATTTCCTGAGCGTTCGGATGAGAATGTTTGATAATGATGGCAGCAGAGGATACTTGGTGGACTGAATTTTATGAAATACGATTGAAATTGGGGAGGCCACCAACCAAAAAAAAGAACGAAAAGCGGTATCCAGAAGATCAGCTTCATCGTCGGAGTATCGAAAGTTTTCGAGGCTTTGTTCTTGAAATGAACTCTTTTCAGTGATCGCTGCTTTTATATACAAAATTTTTCAAAGATCTAATCTTTTGAAAAAAGTGGAGTTTCACGAAAAATAATTTTCACAAAAAAACTGATTTTTGTACTGGCTATGAGATGTGAGATGTGAGTAGTACTTACTTTAGCTTTTCACTTCTTGGAGGTCCTTTTTTTAACAATCTAATCACCAGGAGATGTTAGAAACGGCCTTAAATGTACACAAGAACAAAGCCGAACGGCCCGATTTAGTCATCCGCTGCCGACTCATGGCAAAAGGCCGTCAGCCGCGGCCGGCCGTCTGAGAGCCCTGCATTAGACTGAACAAAATATTTCATTGCTCATGAGTGGAATACCTATTTTTATCAACTAGAACTGTTTGTGAATCTATTATCTGACTTTTATTTTTTCTCAATAAAATTGAAAAAGATGCATAGGAAAAGCACGGTGGCAGCAAAAGAAGCAGATGAAGAACTGGTGCATAAATCACTCGATGTTTTTCCTCCTGGGCATTGTGATCCGGGGGCTCCTTTTTTCAAATCAGTGGCGTTCAATCTCGAGCTAAACTTTCATAAAATTGAAGAATAACTTCTTTTAAACTTACTGGGGGCCCATGAGACATATACCTTTGATAGTAATTCCCTTCTCTACACACTTTGTCTTCATATCAGCGCAGCCCACAGATGTTTGGAGAGGATGCATAGCGGCATCAAAAGCGTTGTTATTCCATTCTTCGTTATCAGTGCTTCCAATCTTCATATAGGGAGCCTCATGAAACTTACAGGTCGACATAACCTCTTCTGCTTTTTTTTCAAGCTCCGTATTGTACTTCTGAAAACCATTCAAGCATTCCGGTATCAAGAACTTTCACATACCAATTCGTGCATATTGGCGATTTTTGCCTCTTTAGCACCAAGCGCTCGAGCTTTATTGAATTTATCTACAATTTCCTGAGCTTCCGGATGAGTACGTTTGATATTGATAGCGGCAGATGATACTTGGTGGACTGAATTTATTGAAATACGATTGCGAATGGGGAGGCTACTAACCGAAGAAAAGAACGAAAAGCAGTATCCAGAAGTTCAGCTCCATTTGTGTTGAACGTTTTGAAGGTTTTATTATTGAATTGAACTTTTTTCAGTAGTCGCTGCTTTTTGTATACAAAATGGTACAAAATCCTATCTTTTGATTCGGTACAGATTACATCATTGAAGCTGGAATGTCACGAGATATTTAAATTCACTGGTGTTATTTAATTTGTACTGCGTCTGGCTCACGCCGTTTAGAAGCAAAGTTCGGAAAATCTGTTCTGACAGAGTTGTTCGGAATATCATCCACTTCACGCTGATATGTTTTCTGGATTTTTAGGACCAATAGTTCTGAAGTTATTTCGACTTAACAAATAACACTGTAAGTCAACGGGAAAATAAGGGTTTTTTGCCAGGAACAAAATATCAGGCTGCAATTTCAATTGATGAAAAACTGATCTGATAGAGTTTTAGGAGATACTTTAGGCTTCATTTTAATCCATCAACTGGACATCAACTGGATTCGTGGAATTTCACGAAAAATAACTTTCAAGAGAAAACTGATTTTTGTACTGGCTATGAAATGTGAGATGTGAGTGGTTCATAGTTTAGCTGTTCACTTTTTGGTGGTCCTTTTTTGAATATCTTATCACCAGGAGCTGTTAGAAACGGCCTTAAATGCCCACAAGAACAAAGTCGAACGGCCGGATTCAGTCATCCGTTGCCGACTCATAGCAAAAGGCGGCCGGCCGTCTGAGACCCTGCATTAGATTGAACAAAAGTGCAAATTTCATTGCTCATGAGTGGAGTAGTTATTTTTATCAACTA